CAATAAATTCCGTGGTTGTGGTACCCCGATCTTACTCCAACACATGTCCATAACCTGTGTTCGTGTCCGTTCTCTCTAAAACCCATCCAGATATAAGTGAAGCCTATTCCTCGCCTCTTCTATGGGACGTCTCAGGAATTCGTCCAAGGCATTGGTCCCAAAGTGATCCATCCCACCGAAGCATGCCCAGCTAAACGATCGGTGCTCATAATAAAATGAGATAATTGCTGGGTGCAATTCCCGTGTCACCGTTATCTTTCCGCGCCTGCCACCATCTCCCGCTGACATCGCTGACTTCTAGAATCTCGTGTTTGGAAAATGAAATCTCGTTGGCGTCTTCCGGGTTTGCCTCGTAGCTGTAGATAGCCTTCGCTCGATACGGGTACTCAGTCGGAGCAGCGAGCTCGGGCTCGTTTTGTTGCTGCGGTGGCTTACTGACAGGCTGCTGGAAAGCAGGTGACGAGTTTCGAGGCGCGTTGCCGTTCAGCCCACCGACAGGCGATGGGTTCTCGAAGCCATTCAGTTGAGCAGATGTGTACATCTGAGGAGGTTGCGTAGAGGTGGAAGTCTCGGGCCGAGCGCCATAACCACCGTTCATGGTTTGTCGGTTCGCACTTGATTCTTTAGCAAGGGCGAAGGAATCAATAAATGCACGAGGAACAGCTGATGGAGCAGATCCGAAATAGAAAATCCACGCGAACTATTGCAGATTTCACCATTAGTACAACTACGCGAATGATGTTGAGCGTCATGATCACCAGGCATAGGAGTGTTCATATAGAACACCTAGTAGAGCCTTCATGCTTCAACTTACATTAACCATAGACAGCAGAATGAATCCAGCTGCGGCGGCTTCTCGCGCGCCTTCAGGAGAGTAGATTAGCGAGTTGACGGATGAAGTTGTGAGGACTAGTCCACAACTCGTGTATCCGACCACAGCGATGTGATAAGTCTGAATGGAATCAGACGCGACGACGACAAATATCTTCACTATCAAGAATAACATGAATACAACACTCCACCATGCGAACGTCGGGAAACGCAGATTCGGATCCGAGGGGTCTGAGTTGACCTGGCCGATGATACAGCTGATGAAGGAGATGATCCATGCAAGCTAAGATCATGTTGTATTAGCATCTAATTAATCGTCGTTGGATTCCGACGCGCCAGCGAGGGACGGCACTTGGAGGGGATGCAGAAGGACAAGCGGGGGTCATACGTACGCCAGCAATAGATACCGTAGCGAGGGCAAAAGGATCGCCAATGATATTGCCCATATTGATGCCTTTGCGGCCGTAGCTCGCCCTGGGGTTTTCCATTTTCCGCAGCGATGGGGAGTGAAGTGAGCCGTACGAGGGCATAAGGAAGAAGGTCCGTCGACGATTCGCGGCGTTCAGCCGAGAATGGGTTTAAAAGGGTTCAGAAAGTTTCTCGGGCTTCTAGTCAATTGTTGTGGCAACCCGAATACGTGACGGGTGCAGCTGGATGGCAAAAGAGAGGTACCGGCTTGCTGATCTCCCGAGCTGGAGTGGTGGCTGTGTGCAAAGGAAAGGAAGGTTGCAGGACCTAACAAATAAAGGTCGCTATTTGATTTGTCGAGTGGTCAAAGGCTACGTAGCTGGTTAAGATTCGGCGACGCTGGGGTTTATTTGGGTTTAGAGCAGTGGGTGGTACGAAAGAAGGACGGTCGGGAGAACTCAATTCTCTAAAAGGAGTGACTGGAAGTGGGTGTCGTCAAGTCAAGAGATGAGAGACTAAGAGCGTTTCTGGCCTTGATATGACGAGGCGTCACAGGGAAATACGTCGGGCGCGATGCGATCCGAAGCGGCTGTCAAGGATCGGATCGAGGTGGAGAAAGCCTATAGGGACGGAGAAAGCGAAAGCGAAATCGCTGTGTCGATGCCGGCTCGTGCTGTGGAATAGACTCTCGGTTGCCAAGCTGGTCCAATTGACTGACAGTGGCTGAAGTGGTGATCGTTGATTAGGCAGATGAAGTTTCGAGGTATGGGGTATTCAATTCCCTTCCGTGCTCGACTCCCTTTTCCCTTCCCTTTTTCTTAGTCGCCAGCAATTCCCAGATCTCTTTCTCTCGCAGCAACTCCCTAACCTCCGTGTCGCAGTTCCCGACAGCGCGAATTTCAACAAGAACACCAGACGACGAACGTGGGTCGTGAGAAGCGAAGTTGGATCGTTCCACGCCTGACAAAGCCTACTCGGTAGTTAAGAATCGAAAGGAGGTTGGTTTGAGAGAGGGAAGACTCGTCTTCGCGACTACAAGGCAGATCGGTGGGATCTGGCGGAGGATGGAGGGTAATTAAAGAAAGGATAAGCAGCTGAAGGGGACAGAAGAATGGAGAGTGTGTGGACAGGAAAGGCCTGGAAGGTTGTAAGAGGAATTGGCGAGAATTGGGAACGGATGGGGCGGGTGGAGAAAGCTTGGAAGGGCTCGGGTGTGCGAATATGCGCGAAAGGATGGCCAGGACATGGTCAGTGCGTCCAAGGTCGGCTCAGGTACCCTTCAATCTTCCGTTGTAGTGTACACTGGGTACCTACCTACACCTCCCCAGGTAGGTACTACTAAATGAAGGTTGGCAGCTGTTACTAAGCGTCGGTACAACAAAAGAGAATATGCAGAGTGGACTTGGCACATCTGCTGCCATAGCCATCTTGGGTAGTGTATACCTATACAAACATGTACATGCATATACATATTCGAGGTTGCGTCGCAGCGTCGACAATGGGACATCAATCGGATGCGCAAGATGTACCAGATCCTATAGAACAAGTCTGTCTAACCTTGACCTTCGAGGGAGACACCTGCAACACTGTACAGCAACATATGCCCATGCAAACCCGACAGCATACATACCTACATGGACCTACCCTACTTACCTCACATGTGCATGTCAACCTTTTTCACTGGGCATAACACGCATTGATAACTCGATGGATGGTGAGCTAGCCGATCAGAAAGCGAGACGACCAAGCAAATGTAATATTATATATCCATATTCGACATCACCTCAATTATACGTTGGTAACGCACATACCTTATAAGTGTCAAATTGTAATTATAGTTATATAAACTACCTCCTACAAGGTATCATTAAGGGCTATATGTACATACTATATGTACCGTGTAGTACATATATTCGTAGGTAGGTACATGCGGACAAGGTTGGGGCTTAGTGTAGATATCGGGTTAGTGAGCCGTTCAAGTTTTTACCAATTTCGACAAACTTGGCTTAGCGCCCTCGCCGCTTTTGCTCAGGCTCGGCTCACCTGATTATCAGTCACCTGACTGAGGAACTACATTTATGTATAATTTATGCAGAGCGAAACGGTCCTCAAACGGTTACATTTTAATCGTCAACTCAAGGCAGCCTTACTGGTGGGCAGGGGTATAAGACGAGGTATGTATAACTTCCTAGGAAGTCACTCCAGTTGCACGGTTCTGCATTTTACTGTTTTTAATGCGCCCACTAGTAGGTAGGTAGGTTTAAACGAACCGACAACACTTTCGCTCTACAGAAGACATAACTGCCCAAACCTGCCATGTAACTATTGCAAGAAGGAAGGACATATTGCAACACCACAGGACTGTCCTGGACTGTCGTCGGTCGATGAAGAGACCATGGCAGCAGAAGAGGTACGAATACTTTCCAATAGACTTGAAACTTCGATCCTAATATTTATCGCAAGGGGCTTGTTTATCCAATACCGGACCTTCGATTTCCTGATTTGAAGGACTCGATCACACAAATCAGCAGCATTAACTACCTACTCCATTATTACAAAAAGTGCGTAAATCTGAGAGTCATTATTCTTCTTGGGTCGCAGGCTCAAAGCGACATTCTTTCGCCATTCAGGCACACAACACCTGCTCCTCCCAACACCGTCTTTCCGGCCCACACCAACTTCCACTTCACGGCTGCACTATCTGCATCTGGATTTTGTGTCATGGTCAAAAGGTCTCTCGGATATTCATCGCAGGCCCAGAGCCACTGACCGTACAAAGCGGGAAGCAGTTCGATACTGACAAACTGAGGGGCATACGGGATACGTTTGGTCTGGCTGCCGCTATCAGCGATGAGAAAATCAGGCGCACTTACTGGGAAAGAACTTGCTTCTACGCATCATTGTTCTCCCAAGCGCGACTTGAAAAGGAGGGTTTAGTAGAACCACTATCATCAACTGATTTGGCTCCAGTCTTCCGCGATTGGCTGTCCTATAAGCATTTTACCGACTGCGATATCAAGAACCTCGAGCAAACTGCTGGGGGACTGACTCTCGGGCTTCTGCAGATCTCCACGATCCTAGCTAACAGGATAAAGGGCAAAGTTGGTAGAGAGGGTCCATTCTACCGAGGATACCGAGGGAAGTACGATGGGTTAGCTTTCAAAAATGTCAAGCAACTTTTTTACCGTGTATCCAGAATCATCTCGAATCCAGAGACGCATGAAGAAATGAAATCAAGCATAGAAGGTCAAAGCAACGCAGGAGAGATTTTCCAGACTACATTCCAAGTGACCCGGGTGGTCGACTGGCCATTCAATATCAGCTTATCGACAACCAAGATGGTAAGGGTCCCTCGTCGGAATGGAAATGGGCTATATGACAAGGTATAGGGAGAAAAATTAGGGAATGACTATCTCTATCGGGTTAACTAACACATTTGTGAATCTCCTTGAAGGTAAGACCGCACAAGACCTGATCCACGTTCCTCGAGGATCCTTAGTAAGATTTTGTGATTAGCACAAGGTAGTAGCCGCCAATGCACTTGTTTTCACTCTCAAACCAACAAAAGAAAAAGGTGGATGAAAAGTGGATGGATTAAGCAAAACTATCTAGAACATAAACGCAACTAAACTAGTCTGTCCGGAGAATCCTCGGGCCGTCCCACACACTAGGTTGACAGTTGAAGTATTTTTTTCTGAAATTTTTAAAGGCTTTTTTTTTTAGTCACTACTCGCAAGGGAGGAAACGAAAATATTAAAAAATGGGGTGGACCGGGCTTGAACCGATGACCTTTAGATTTATGAGTGAAGTTTTTCTTCAGTCTAACGCGCTCCCAGCTGCGCCACCGCCCCATTGGCGATCTATAACTTTTCTTATTTCAAATTAAATACCACTTAAGATTAAAAGTTGATTTTATAAACTTATTATTTTTTATGAATTATATAAAATTTTTGTTTTTATTTTTAATTAATTAATATAATTAACTATAACATACTATATAAGCGAGTGGATAAAATAAATTAATAAATAAAATAAATTATAACGAACCTCTTTATATATTTTTAGTTAACTGACTTTATAAGTAAGTACGTACTAGGTTTTCTTAATTTAAAAGTAATAATGATTTAAAATTAATTCAAGTGATTCATAACATTTTATTCGTTAAAAAGATTTCAAAGTACTTTCATTATAATGTTAAAAAGTAATTATAATCTTAAATTAATAACTAAAAAACTAGAATAAATAACTAAAAACAAAGGAAATTCCATCCTTTTTATATTAATTTTTTCTTTTATATAAATAAAGTAAATAATAAATCGTATATTTTTAATTTATTATTTATTATTCGTTAAATAATAAATAACACATTTTTAATTCATTATTCACTATTCGTAATTACGTGATTCGCACGTGCTTAATATTTCGATAGTCGTAATATTATTTTTCTTCTTTAAGAATCTTTGTTTTAAAAATAAAAAAGGATTTGTTAAACCTTTTTTTTATTTGTTAAAGACCTCAAATTTTCTTTAACTTACTTTATTATATTTTATTATATTAATAAAAATCGCAAAGAAAATTCTCGCGTCTCGCGTTATATTAAGAAATCGATTAAAATAAACTTATTCTTATAAACTTTATTACTTTTAATAATAATAATAAAAATTTATTTATATTATAAACATATTAAAAAAGGGTATATTACTTTCGAGGATTTCGATCGTTATAACGAATATATTCAAATAAGGCGGTCCCGTTATGATATTTTTAATATTACAAGGAAAAGTGTTACTAAAATCACACGATAATTTTAATAAATAAAAATGGAATTAAAAAAGGCTAATATTACTATTAAGGTTACTATAAATAAGGCCCGTCGCCTTCGCATTTAAAAGCGTTTGTAATTTAAAAAGTTACAAAAAATAATTACTCGGGGTTTTAATTCTATCGAGGAACTAAAACGTGTAAAGCGTGAAAAAGCAAAACAAGAGCGCCTTATTACAAAACAGCAGCGCACGGAGGAACCGCTATGCCGGTCCAAACTCGAGCAAGGTATGCTTACTTCGAAGGCCTTCCCCTCCTTTAACTAGTCTCAATTAAATTCTCAGGTCTTCCCGGCCGATCCGGGTTTTAGCGGTAATACTTAGCAAGCTTAGCCGTTAGGTTCTTTAAATGCCTAAGTAGTTCTCACGTGTTTTTTTCGAGTGAGTAGCCTTCCTATTTAACAAAATACTATAATTAACTATTAACTTGTCTTAAATTTAATATCTTTTTAACTTTATACTTATTAGGGTTTTCTTTAAAATTTAATTGTTTTTTTAATAAGACGTTTTTTAATACTGGTTTTAAAAGTAAAACATGAAATATAAAATGTATTTTAGATTTTTTTAATAACGAGAGTTTATAATTAACTTTTAAGATTATTTCCTTAATTTTATATGGTTTTAACTTCTTAAATTTAAGTTTTTTGTTAAGCCGTTTTATTTTAATTTAAGGTGTTTTTGTTATTATATCTTATTATTAACGAAGCAAATAAATCATATTTCTTTTCCTAAGAATTAATCCTTTAATTCTTTTTCTATTATAATACTTTATTATTTTTTTATAGTTATTATTATATTACCTAGACTTTTTCGGATAGTACTTCTACTCTCGGGGTTTCTATTTCGACTTTTAATACTTTTATAAATTCGATTAGTTGTTTTTAGACTTCCGCTTTCTACTTATATACTACCTCGTATAGTGACATCTTTATATCTTCGTTAACCGAAATGTTATATATTATTTAAGTTATTAATAGCAATTCTACTTAATTATTCATTTCCTAGTTAATATAACTTCGTAAATATTGTTTTATTATCTAGTTTAATCTCTTTATTTATTTATTTATCTAGGAATAATACGTTATAAATAATTTTTATTTAACTCTTATTTGTTTTATTAAGTTTATTTAAAATTTTAAAATAAATAACTTATCTTTATTTAAAATAATGCGTTTTGGTAGTTTGTGTTTATTAACGTATTCTTTTAAGAAATTAAAAGCTAGTTATTTTATTATACTTAACTCGTTAAACGGTAAGAAATAAGCATATTTCATAAGTTTATTAACGATTACCTATATATTATTATAAGGTACTCTTATAATAAGATCTTTTAACTTAAGGAGTTTTACTACGAAATCCTATGTAATTATATGTCACGCTTTGTTAAGTATTTAAGTTAATTATAATAGTTTATATAGTTTATATCGTGATGTTTTAGCCTTATTATAAACATTATAATTTTTCATAATTCTTTTAACTGTTTATTACATTCTTAAAAAGTTAAATTCTTTTTAAAGTCGTTTTATCGTTTTAAAAATTCCTTAGTAACCGTATAAAGGATGTTCGTGGAATTCTTTAACGAATTCGTTTTATACTCGTTTTAATATATAAACCTTTTCCTTATACGAGAGAAGTTCGTTACTAAATCCTTGCTAAAACTACAATTACTTTTCTTTTTAATTATAATTTTCCTTGAAACGTAATTTCTAGTCTCCTATGTTAATTTGTATATAAACTAATATAATTAATTCGTTATTTTATTATTTAAACATTTAGACATCTCTTTTATTAATTTTTAACTTATAATCTCCTTTTCTACTAAGCAAGTCTATTTAAACGTTTTCCTTTCCCTTAATATAATAAATTTTAAAATTAAACTTAAACAAAAAAATCATTTAACGTTTATATTTTTAATTAAGCGTTTATATTATTATAAATCATGTAAAATTATTATAATCTAAATAAATATTAATAGGTTCTTTAGTTTTACTAAGCCATAGTTCCTATTCTTTTAATGCTTTAATAACTATTAATAGTTCCTTGTTATAAATCTAATAATTTAGTTTAGCACTATGTAGTGCCTTAGATAAGTACGTGACTAAGTACCATTTTCCATTATTTTCTAGCTACTTTAAAACTGCTTTAATAGCGAAATCTAAGGCGTTTATCTTTAGTCGCTTCTTTTTGTTTTCGTTTAGGAGTTTATATATAACCTCGCTAGTTATTACCTCTTTTAGCTACTAAAAAGCCTATCTAGCTTTTTTAGTAAAATAAAAAGTTTTTCTTATTTTCGCTAAAATAATTAGTTTTATTAATAGTTTAGTAATTCGCCTAAAATCTTAAATAAGTTATTTAACATAATTAATAAAGCCAAGAAATGCGCGTACGTTTATAACATTCTTAGGTTTTAACTAATTCTTAATTATTACTATTTTTCCTTTTTAAATATAAATTTCTTTTAGGCTTATTATAAACCTTAAATAATCTAATTTTCTAATATATTATTTACTTTTAGTTAAATAAACAAGTAAGTTTATCTTCTCTAGGGCTTTTAACATTTACTTTATATATTATTTATATTTCTTCTCGCCTTTTAAGTAAATTAATATATTATCTAAATAAATAAATATAAATTTATCTAGAAATTTACAAAGAACCATTATAATTATATATTAAAATATAATAAGTACGTTAATAAGTTTAAACGGCATAACTTTATACTTATAATATCTATATATTGTTTAAAAAGTGATATATTATTTGTATTCTTTAGCTATTTTAATTATATAATAACCATTACGAAGGTTTAATGCTATAAAGATTTAAGCTTTATTAATTTATTTTCTTATAAGTTTTATTAGTAGTAACGAGTATCCGTTCTTTTTAGTTATCTTATTAAAGTGTTAGTAATCGATCACTTGTCGCCATACTAGATTTCCTTTTTCATTAATACGTTACTTTCCGTTTTTATCGACCTTTAATACCATAATTGCTAGGTATCTTAACGAGGATTTTAATTCTTAAATATATCTTTTATTAAGATCTTTTTAAATTCCTTTTTATAGTACTTTTTATTTTTCCTAATTTATAAGATATATTAAAAATAGTTTTAATTATTTTCTTTCTTTAAAATAGATTTAGTGGTTTCATTAGTTATGTTTTAGTAATTCTTTTTTTATTCTATTTTTAAACAATTTATAAAAACGTAGGTATTTGCGTAATACTTTTTTCGTTAAATTTTTAAGCTTAGTTACTCGAATTATATAAGCGATATGTTTTGTCTTTATATCCGTTTTTCTAGAATTATTTATAGTACTTATTTCGTAACTTATAATAGTTAATTCCTTTTATTTTTAATCCTAATAAAGCGTGTTTATTTCGAAATTTATTCGTAAATTACTTCTTTTAAGTTAATTCATTTTTAGCATTATATCGTGACTTAATATATATATAATGTTAAAAATAACTTGCTCGAAATGTTTTTAAATGGTTATTAAGAAAGAAACTATTTCTTTTAGCACTTTATTATTCTCGTAATTAAATATATATTCTTCGAAATTTCGTAGTTAATATAAACTTTGTTTATATATTTATAGTATTTTATCCTTTTAAGTTATTTTAGTTAAAATATAACTTCTATTTACTTTTAAGTTTATAAAGGCTTTATACTCCCTTTTATTATACTTAACCTTAGTTATAATAATATTATTAAGTCTTAACTAGACTTTATATAAAGACTTATTATTTATAGCTTCTTACTACCTTACTAGCGAAAACCTTTATTGTTTCTTCTTTTTTAAGTTTCTTTAAATTATTACAACTCGAATGTCTTTCTATTCTTAGGCTTTCATAAAAGCGTATTTTTAGTAATCGTTATTTAAATAGTTTCTTTAACTACCTTTCACGTAATAAGGGGTAAAAAGTCTATCTTTCATATAAAATCTCGCATATTAAAACTTTAATTCTTTTTTAAGGGCCCTTTTATAACTTAAATCTATTTTCTTATTAACTCGAAATCTTTTAAGGTTTTA